TGCTACAATGGTTGTGGATTTTTTTTTAAATGATTAAAATAACGTTAGGTAATTTAATAATTATTTTAAGTTAATTATAAAGCGGCAAAAACGGTCTCCTAGTGCAAACATATTGCATTTGAAGCGAAAACAGTGATGCCACTAAACAATTTTTTTAAACATGTGCTGTATTGCCAATCTTTTTGAAATTTCACACACTTATATAAAAATTAACGCAGAATTCAAATTTACACCACACATTGCGGTAATCTGGCTAATTAAAAAGATATTGACGAAATTACTTACCGTTATTCACTGCGTGCTGCCCAAAAAAAAAAAATCGATTAATTTTATACGCGTCAAAACCATCTCAGGTCAAAGCCTGGCATCTCTCCAATAACTTCTAATAACTTTTCCGATTTTATCTTTCACGTAAAGAGCACAGAAAAATAATTTCTCAATAACAGACAATTGGTTTTCAAATTTTCGGGTCGCAATCACGTCTATAGTAACCGACGAAAATGTATAGCAAAATAAACGAAACAAAATGATCCATTGCTATACCTACTATTACATCTATACTGCGACACCAGAATGAGAACCAGATTAATCTTCTTCTTGGTATTCTCGAACTGTAAACTCCGATGGAAAGTTCTGGGTGTTCGTCCACTTTTAGACATTGCTCTTGTTCTGCAACTTCAATTTTGCGTTCACATTGTAAGAGATCTCTCTTATTTGTGTGTAGACTGTTGGTTCCTGGCAGAGGCACTCCGACTTTGAAGGAAAGAGCCCTAATGATGATATGCTGGTTATGAGGGCAATGGGTTTGTTCTTTCACCCCCCCCCTCTGCACCCCCCCCCCTCTGCACCCCCCCCCTCTGCACCCCCCCCCCCTAAATCGGGCCCCAGAACCCATGTAGGGAATCAGCAGATTGACTTGCATTGATTGGCTCACCTTGGCTCCTAAAATAGACTCAGTCTAACATTCCTGCCAGGTAATGTCATAGAAAATAAAGGCGGCCGGCTTCTTCTTTTTCTTTGTGTTCACCAGCTGTAAACTCTCGCGAAAAGTTCTGGTTGTTTGTCCACTTCTGGAGTGCAGTCCTGTTTCCATAACCTGAGTGTTGTGTGTGCGTCCGTTTTACAGATCTAACTCATTTGTACGCAGACTGCTGGTTCTTTGCCTCTCAGGCAGACGCACTCTGACTTCGAAGAAAGCTCCTAATTAGTCTACATGCTTTTGGATAGGCAGTGTGTCTATTCTTGTTTTCCCTATAATAAGGCCCTGGAACCCACACGGGTTGGTCGGCTTCAGGTTACCCACATTACCCATCTGCTGACTGGGCTTTAGAATGAATATACACATACCCACCATGGCTGTGGAAAGGGCGCTACAAGTTTTTGTACACATACATCCTACGAAAGCAATGGCAAACTACCTAATGTAAAATTGCTTAGTAAAACCAAAACAGCTTGTTAAACTCTGGGGTTGGTTCTGCAACGTCTTATGTAACTAACTTTTAACACGTACATCCCTCAAACATAATTGTTTATGGCTAGGAGAAGGAAAGAGACTGGGTGAGGTGGGGTGTTTTTACTTTGAGGACGATCCTGCCAAGGGTGGCTGGGTGGCTTTTGTGGGTGCATGGGTTCATCGACCCTTTCAGGTCGTCACATAAGCACTAGAGACTGAACCTTCCTGTGTGGGTTTTGAGGTCCCATAAGGAGCGGAGGTGGTGGTGGGGAAAAAAGGGGGGGGGGGGGTTAAATAGACCTATTGCCCCTAACAAATTTTTTGAAAAAGACGAATAATTAGGGAGCTCGTAGAAATCGGATGTGTTCGCCCGAAAGGTTCAGATATTGCAGCCTAACTGTAAACCACGACACAGAGTGCCAACCGCCCATTCAACAACCAACATAGAAGATGAAGAAGCCAAAATCTAACAGGATTTGACTTGTTGGCAACAATTTGACTCTCTAGCTTATAAATCACTGTTAAAACAGTTATCTTGTTCTTGTGGTCTGCAGCAGTAAACACGAGTGCGTCAGCGATGCTCTGGTGGTTCGAGCCCGGGGACTCCCGTGGCAGTCTTCCGACCAAGACATTGCCAGGTTCTTTAAAGGTTTAAACATTGCCAAGTAAGTTTCACTCTCACATGTTTAGAGTCCTCGTGTTCCTGCGTTACTTATTTATTTCTATGTCAACGATGGCATGGAGGGATATCATCAAGAGAGCCACTCCAGGCAACCAGGAATTATGATCTGTGGAGAAGCATAAGTGAATACGCCGGTTGGCAAGAAACATGATGGTGATAGTGATGTGAAAAAGAAATATTTTATTGTTCACTAGAGCTTGAGAATATCTTCTCATTTCTTACTTCTGTGTTCATCCGATTTCAGCCAACTCCTAGCAATCAGGTGCCGTCTCCACAATAAAGGTTGGCTGCAATGGATCTCCAACATTCTCTGTCTCTTGTCCTGGTTGTACACTTTCTCTGACTGCTGCATGTCCATCTCTTGATGTTGTCCTCCCATATGTATCGTTGCTTACCTCTTGCTCTCTTGCCTTCGACCTTACACTCCAGTATTGTTTTTAAAAGTTTATGTCTTTAATGTGGCCAAAGTATTTCAATTGTCTCTTTTTTACTCCTCATTATTCGTCTTTTACGACACACTTGTTAGGGAGCAGTGGATCTATTCTTCCCACCCCCCCCCCCCCACCCCCCTCACCCCCTCACACCCCCCCCCCCCAAATGGGGCTACGGAACCTACATGGTGATCTTCGGATTTAAAAGAGTTTTTTTTTTCTTGTCCCAATCTTCTTCAGCCATCTGAAATCACATACTTTCATCTTGTTTTAGATTGGTTGACATGAACGGAAAAAGAGAGTGAGAGAGAGAGAGTGAGAGAGACAAAGAGAAAGAGTGAGAGTGATATAGAGAGTGAGAGATAGAGTAAGAGTGAGAGTGAGAGAAAGAGTGAGTGAGGGAGAGAGAGAAAAAGAATGAGCGAGAGAGTGAGAGAGAGAAAGAGTGAGTGAGGGAGAGAAAGAGAGCGTGAGAGAGAAAAAGAGTGAGTGAGTGAGAGAGAGTGAGAAAGAGAGAAAGAATGAGGGAGAGAGAGAAAGAGAGAGTGAGGGAGAGAGAGTGAGAAAGACAGAAAGAGTGAGTGAGGGAGAGAGAGAGAAAGAGAGAGAGTGAGGGAGAGAGAGAGAGAGAGAAGAGAATATGAGAGAGAGAAAGAGTGAGTGAGGGGGAGAGAGAGAGAGAGAGAGAGTGAGAGAGAGAAAGAGTGAGTGAGGGAGAGAGAGAGAAAGAGAATTAGAGAGAGAGGAGAGAGAGAAAGAGTGAGTGAGAGAGAAGGAGAGAGAGAGAGAGAGAGAAAGAGAATGAGAGAAAATGAGAGTGAGAGAGAGAGAAAAGAGAAAGAGAGAGAGAGAGAGAGAGAGAGAGAGAGAGAAAGAGAGTGAGAGAGAGAAAGAGAGTGAGAGAGAGAGTGAGAGATAGAGAAAAAGAATGAGAGTGAGAGAGAGAGAAAAGAGAAAGAGAGAGAGAGAAAGAGAGAGAGAGAGAGAAAGAGAGTGAGAGAGAGAAAGAGAGTGAGAGAGAGAGTGAGAGATAGAGAAAAAGAATGAGAGAGAGGAAGAGTGAGTGAGAGAGAAAGAAAGTGAGAGGGAGAGTGAGAGAGAATCAGCGGACAGAGAGCGAGAGTAAAGGAGACAGAGAGACAGACAGACTGAGAAGGAGAGAGAGATATTGTTAATATGAGTGTGAGAAAGTCTATGAGAGTGAGAGTGCCTTTGTGAATGTGTGGCGCGCATGCGCGCACACACACACACACACACACACACACACATACTTCTTGTGCAAGGAGTTTTCTATAAGCTCACAGTGACAACATGAAATGGCAGACATAAAGTTTCCTTCCTATCCTCTTGATTTGCTCGAGAACAAACAAATTTGATTATTAAGCTTTTCAGTCAATCTTTCAGTTATGTTGTTTCCCCTTAAACGTTTGCCTGTCGTTCTGGTAGTCGTTTGTTCGAAACTCCTTCCAACCAGTTGTTTCAGTGACTTGGCCTCCCCAGGGCGTTTCCTTGACGACAAAGGTGTCGCACATGGTACTGACCTGATTAACCTTTGCCAATCTCTCTGCATATTTGATGTTTGTATTATATACCCGAGGTGTGTCTGGCTGAATGGTTAAGAATGGTACACTCTCAAGCAGGAGACACGAGTTCAAATCCTCAGTAAGTTTGGGTAGTTGTTTTTTTTTTCTGTTCCTAACCTGCACAGTTTTCGACAACATCACTAGTCTTGTGGTTCTAAATCCTCGGGCTCAAAGACCCCCCCCCCCCCCTTTTTTTTCCCCCTTTTCCGCTTACACCAAAAAAGTGGTAAGTAATTTCCTTATATGTGTGAAAAACAAAGCTTTCACTTGTTTTCAAACCAGGCTGATATACTAAATGCTGTACAACAAAAAAGGTTTTTGTGAGAACCAAGTGATGCCTGGGAATCTCTAACCATGACCAGATGGCATGAACAACATATTAAAGGGTGTTTGGTCAGACAAGGCAAGTAGTAGTAGTAGTACTTTTACCCTACCAGGACATCACACAAGCAATGAACACTCGATGACACAAAGTGCCACCATATGGATGAGGATCACCCGTGGTAGGGGTCCAAGAAACCGTGTTCAGCCATTAGACCATATTTATGGCCGGGCTATATTGCGGCCCCTGGCAAGAGCTAGAGTAGGGCTTCAAATAACGAAAAATTGTATCTCACAAAGGGATGACTAATTATAAGACAAGGGAACTAAGCAGCAAGCAAAAGAAGACTAAGAAACAATCACAGAACTGGTGTAGTCAGCTGCTACATACTGCTGTATTGCTGAGGAGGGGATCCGAGCGCTTATGGACTGAATGGTTTCATGTGCAATGAGGACAATCTGGCAACTGACTGACATGTTTTTAAAAAAAATATTTTCAGACACTAACCTTTGTTACAAATAATCTGCAGAGGTGGCGTGGCACTGTGTCTGAGTCCCCAAGGAAGACGAAATGGTGAGGCTTTGGTGAGGTTCGAATCTGAGGAGCACAGGGAGCTGGCCTTGAAGAGACACAAGCACCACATGGGTCAGCGTTATATCGAAGTCTACAAGGCAATGGGCAAGGACTTTATCGATGTCGCAGGAGGTAAGCTGGCTTTTGCTGGGTTAACATCACTATGCTAAATCTGTTGGGAACTTTCAAGACCACTGAAGTTTCTTCTTCTTCATCCTTTGTCCAAATGACATTAATGCATTGTGCCCATTTACAGCATAGCTGTAATTCTTGTGCCTTTCAGCCAACATATCTGACTTCTTCGATCATTTTTTTTTCTTTGTCTTTTGGGACTGAAATAGTTAAATATCTTTTTAGAAATAACAACACTGCGCTAAAAAAAAATAATGATACAGACTGTGAGAAGATCTGCTGGCCTCTCCATAATGATACAGACATGTAACAAGATTCTCCACAATGATACAACATGTAACAAGATTCTCCACAATGATACAGACATGTAACAAGATTCTCCACAATGATACAACATGTAACAAGATTCTCCACAATGATACAACAGAGCTCGTAGAGGGGAAGAGAAGAAGTTCAGATCAAGAGGTGGTCTCTTATAAGTTAGATGGGTTGAATTGTGACCTGTCTCTGTTACCTTGATAGTTAACTCTTTTAGAGTGATGTCGGACCAACTCATGGTAAGGATACTCTACAGAAAGATACCTGTATTCTATGCCAGAAATTCAATAATTTAGAATACTATTGGCTGGAGTGTAGGAGATATGAAAGCCGAAGAAGATAGACCAGAGGTCTTGAGCCAGAAGATAAGTGTGACTAGTCTAATAGACATGCAATGGGAAGTTAGGATTTTTCTCCCCAGACAGAAAAAAAAAAATCCATCATCTTACAGAAGATTCAAACCAGGATCTTGTGAATGAAAACCCCTTGCTTTTAACAGCTCAGCCAGCCACTTGTATTTCGCTAGAGCAGTGCAACTGTCAACAGCTCAGCCAGCCGCTTGCTCTTTGCTACAGCAGTGCAACTGTTAACAGCTCAGCCATCCGCTTGTTCTTCGCTTGAGCAGTTCAACTGTTAACAGCTCAGCCAGCCGCTTGTTCTTCGCTAGAGCAGTGCAACTGCTACCAGCTGAAACGCAAAATATTAAACTGAGAAAATTACAATTACAGTAAAGCAACAGAGAACATTGTAGTTACAAGCCTTCATGAGCAAACACAACATGAAAGAAAGAATACATAGTTGGAGATGACATGTGAAATATAAGTCAGTTTAATGAACCGTAATTGTTGTATGGTAACAAAAAAACAGCTGGAGATGACATGTGAAATATAAGTCAGTTTAATGAACCGTAATTGTTTTGTATGGTAACAAATTCTCCAGTTGGAGATGACATGTGAAATATAAGTCAGTTTAATGAACCGTAATTGTTGTATGGTAACAAAAAAACAGCTGGAGATGACATGTGAAATATAAGTCAGTTTAATGAACCGTAATTGTTTGTATGGTAACAAAAAAACAGTTGGAGATGACATGTGAAATATAAGTCAGTTTAATGAACCGTAATTGTTGTATGGTAACAAAAAAACAGCTGGAGATGACATGTGAAATATAAGTCAGTTTAATGAACCGTAATTGTTGTATGGTAACAAAAAAACAGCTGGAGATGACATGTGAAATATAAGTCAGTTTAATGAACCGTAATTGTTGTATGGTAAGAAAAAAAACAGTTGGAGATGACATGTGAAATATAGTCTCAGTTTAATGAACCGTAATTGTTGTATTGGTAACAAAAAAAACAGCTGGAGATGACATGTGAAATATAAGTCAGTTTAATGAACGGTAATTGTTGTATGGTAACACAAAAAACAGTTGGAGATGACATGTGAAATATAAGTCAGTTTAATGAACGGTAATTGTTGTATGGTAACAAAAAAACAGTTGGAGATGAGAGCAGTTCAACCTGTTAACCAGCTCAGCCACCACTTGTATGTGAAATATAAGTCAGTTTAATGAACCGTAATTGTTGTATGGTAACAAAAAAACAGCTGGAGATGACATGTGAAATATAAGTCAGTTTAATGAACGGTAATTGTTGTATGGTAACAAAAAAACAGTTGGAGATGACATGTGAAATATAAGTCAGTTTAATGAACCGTAATTGTTGTATGGTAACAAAAAAACAGCTGGAGATGACATGTGAAATATAAGTCAGTTTAATGAACCGTAATTGTTGTATGGTAACAAAAAAACAGCTGGAGATGACATGTGAAATATAAGTCAGTTTAATGAACGGTAATTGTTGTATGGTAACAAAAAAACAGTTGGAGATGACATGTGAAATATAAGTCAGTTTAATGAACCGTAATTGTTGTATGGTAACAAAAAACAGTTGGAGATGACATGTGAAATATAAGTCAGTTTAATGAACCGTAATTGTTGTATGGTAACAAAAAAACAGCTGGAGATGACATGTGAAATATAAGTCAGTTTAATGAACGGTAATTGTTGTATGGTAACAAAAAAACAGTTGGAGATGACATGTGAAATATAAGTCAGTTTAATGAACCGTAATTGTTGTATGGTAACAAAAAAAACAGCTGGAGATGACATGTGAAATATAAGTCAGTTTAATGAACCGTAATTGTTGTATGGTAACAAAAAACAGCTGGAGATGACATGAGACATATACCTTAGTATAACTAACTATGTGAAACAAAAACAATCATATTCAGAGGTTCTAAAGAGACCAGGAATGAAAAGAGAGATAAGTAAAATATTTTAGCTGTGTTAAAAGAATAAAACTCATGTAAATACCAAATTGAGGGAAAGTTTAAAGTAAGTGAGCAAGAGGCAGGCAGTGATACAAGATACAAGGAGATAACATCAAGAAATGAACACAAAACAGTCAAAGAGAATGTGCATCTAGGGTGAAAGGCACAGCATATTAGAGATCGATCTATTGTAGCCAAACTTCATTGTGGAGACGGCATCCGATTGATTGATTGATAACTAACTGGTTGTTCTCTGTGTTTGTTCCGATTGATTGATTGATAACTAACTAGTTGTTCTTGTGTGTTTGTTATGATTGATTAATTGATAACTAACTGGTTGTTCTCTTGTGTTTGTTCTGATTGATTAATTGATAACTAACTGGTTGTTCTTTTGTGTTTGTTCTGATTGATTGATTGATAACTAACTGGTTGTTCTCTTGTGTTTTGTTCTCATTAATTGTTTGATAACAAACTGGTTGTTCTATTGTGTTTGTTCTGACTGATTAATTGATAACTAACTAGTTGTTCTCTTGTGTTTGTTCTGATTGATTGATTAATAACTAAGTGGTTGTTCTCTTGTGTTTGTTCTGACTCAGGAAGTAACTCAGAAGCTCAGGCATTCTTGTCTCGAGGTAGCCAGGTGATCATCAGAATGAGGGGCCTACCGTTCACATGCACAACTCAGCAAGTGGTAAGTTCAGCTGCTGCTCTCTCTAGCTCAGGCAGACACATGTTTGTAAGATGTGATAGCTCAGCAAGGGTGCTGGAACAGAGGGGGCCCAGACACTTGAACCCACCCCATTGCCCTCAGTATTTGTTTCAAGGTTAGGCTAAGGCTCCCTCTCCCTAACTTTGCCGCCCTTGAAAATGTGCAAGGGAGTTAACTAACCCCCCAGCTATGTATAAAAGTGTAACAGTTCTTTTATCTTTCCTAATAGTTGTTTATACATTTCATAATATTTGAAATATATTACTATATTTATTTGTCATTCAGCACATACTAATTATTATTGCATACTTAAACAAGGCTTTTTCTTTCATCCTTCATACATAAGTGGGGCATACATGTTCAACCACCTTGGCCTTGTTGTTTTATCCTCTGCCCTCCACTTGTGGATTACAGGACCCCATTCTGATTAAGAGCTAACTTTAAAGTCATAGTACGTCTGCTTGAGATGCAAGGAACCAACAGTCTGCATGCAAATAAGCTACATCTTTGAAACGGATGTGCATGCAACAGTTAGGTTCTGGAACAAGATTAAGATCCTGAGGGGACAAAGAACCAGAACTTTCCACTGGAGTGAGTTTACAGTTAGTAAACGTGAAGAAGAAATCATCTGCCAATTTAGATAGTTTCATTGCCCAGCTCCTGAGCTGAGTGCATGGCATGACACTGTGAGCTGCGGAATTTCATTTGAACTGTGATAAACATTTTGTGTGTGTTTTTCGTTGGCACAGGAGCGGAGCAACTATGTGGTGACCTGTTTGCTATGAAGCTGAAACTAAGATTACCAGAATACCTCTGCCTATTCATGCAGTTTAATGTCGTGTCTGCCTTGTTGTTGTTGTTTTTGTGTTGTTTTTTGTAACTAAAAAAAAAATTTCAACAACTTTTTATAACTTCTGTGTGTTAATGATTTTCTCTGCTTCTGGATTCCCTTTCTTTCTTTGATTTTCGGTCAAATCCTCTGAGCTTTAACCCTACTTTAAAGCTAGGATGTGACTCAAAACATAAAGGGGAGAAATGGATTAGTAAATGTGGCACTTAACCCTCGGTCTCTTGTCTCCCTTTGTGTTTATAAACCAAATGGTTTGTAAATCAATATCGGCTTGTGTGATGAATAGATCTTTCTCAGTCAATTTGTCTGTCTTAGTCAGTCTGCCTGCTTGAGTCAAATTTATCTGCCCTCCTTTTATTAGTTCCAGGCTCGATTTTTTTCAGATGTGTTAGGCCGATAACTGTAGACATCAGAGCTGTGCTGTAAACAACTGCACCTTAGCAAGCATGACTTAAGAAGCAACTAACTAGGGGTTTTCTCAGATCTGATATACTGTCCTAAAAGGTGCAGGTATTGCAACCTGGCAGTAAACTGCAACAAAAACTGCCAACCGTGCTTCAAAAGACTAACACGGTCTATCTTTGTTAGTTTGCCTTTCTTTATGTCTGTCTACCTTTTTGCCTTTCTTTATGTCTGTCTACCTTTTTGCCTTTCTTTATGTCTGTCTACCTTTTTGCCTTTCTTTAATTTCTGTCTACCTTTTTGCCTTTCTTTATGTCTGTCTACCTTTTTGCCTTTCTTTATGTCTGTCTACCTTTTTGCCTTTCTGTATGTCTGTCTACCTTTTTGCCTTTCTTTATGTCTGTCTACCTTTGTCTCTCTGTCCCTGCCAACCAGTTGACGGGTTATGTGGTCAACATCCTGCCAGTTGCCTTTACTTCCCAGGACACCACCTTGTACCCATTCAGGCTGGGTCAATCTGTTAGCCCTGGTCAACTTTATAAAAAAAAATTTTTTAATTAGTTTTTGAACACAAGGCGTTTGAGCTGACAGAAGAGCTCCCAGCAAGTATGCCACCACAGCTCAAACTGAATTTGTTTCCCTCTGTGGGTTCTGGGCTCCCATTATTGGGAAAAAACAAGAAAAGCCCCACTGCCCCCAACAAGCATGTCCTAAAAGTGGAATATTTAGCTCTGTGTCTTTTGAAGTTAGTGCAATTGCCTGAGATGTGAGGAACCAACAGTCTGCATGCAAAAAAGCCAGATCTGTAAAATATATATGCAAGCAAAACTCAGATTTTAGAACAACCAAATACAGAAGTAGGCGAACATCCAAAACATTTTTGCCAGAATTTACAGCCAGTAAATATGAAGAAAAATGAGAAATTGAATTTGTATACTGTGTTGTTAATATCTGTTAACTTCCTCACAACATCTGTGTTCTAATTTCCATTGCAGTTGGAATTTTTCAGCCAGGAACCTAATTCCTCCCAAGTTCTTGATGGAGAAGATGGAGTTTTGTTTGTCCACTACCCAGATGGACGGAGCACCGGAGATGCATTTGTTCTGTTTGCCACAGAAGTGGAATCAGAGACGGCGTTGAAAAAGCACAGAGAAATGATGGGATCTCGATATATTGAGTTGTTTAAAAGTACGACAGCAGAGGTTCAACAAGTAAGTTACTAGCTATAGTATGCATATTTTTTTTTACAAGAAAAATATTTTCATTTCGTTTAGGAAATTTAGGAATTGTACTACATGTAGTTGTGACAATGAGTGTAGAAATGGTGATAAATACTTCTAGAGGGGAGACGTGTGATAGTTTAACACACATAAGTGGTGGTACTTTTACTCACATGAGTGTTGAAACATTCACACACATGAGTTATGATACACTCAGACACATGGTGGTGATACTTTCACACATGTGAGGTGATATATTCACACAAATGAGTGATAATGCATTCAAATATATGAGTAGTGATACTTTCACACATGTCATGAAACATTCACACACATTTGTGGTGAACAATTTACACACATGAGTGGTGATAAGTTCTCACATTTGAGTGGTGATATATACACACAAATGAGTGGTGATACATTGAAAAACGTGAGTGGTGATATATTCAAAAATGTGAGTGGTGATATATTCACACATTTAAGTGGTGATATACACATGAGTGGTGATATGTTCAAAAATGTGAGTGGTGATATATTCACACACATGAGTGGTAATACATGCAGAAATTATAACAATTTAAAAAAATTAATAAGTAGTTTTCAAATAATGCATACACAAATCAGTATCATACACTTGTCAGTTTTTTTAAATTATCCGTTAATTTTCACACTAGGTACTAAATAGAAGCATGGATCCACGGAACCCAGAGCAGGCAGGAACTCAGGGCACATCTGTCATCACTCACCTTCCCTCAGGAGTACAGATTGTGCCTCAGTCTCTGATCACCAGCGGTTCTCAGAAAGACTGTATACGACTGAGGAATCTGCCTGCTGCTGCACAAGTCACCGACATCCTGGCCTTCCTTGGGGAGTTCTCCCAGTTTATTGTCTACCAGGGAGTCCACATGGTGTATACTGCTGCTGTAAGTTGTCTCCGCCATTCTGTGCTTCTTTTTCCTCTTTGCTGTCACATCTGGCTTATTTGTATGCAGACTGTTGGCTCCTTGCCTCTCAGGCAGATGCACTCTGACTTCAAAGAAAACCCCTAATTAGTTGACACTTATGACCTGCTTGTTGGGGAGACAGTGGGTCCATTCTTGTGAACCCCTCATGATGGGGTCATGGAACCCACACAGGGATCCATGGGTTGCTTTGTTGTCCACCTAACACCAGAACAGGATCTGAGTAAAGGGAACCTTAAGGTCTTAAGGCCTCTTGGGCATATCATTCTATTTCCAGATCTTTGTAGATTTACACTCAGGGCTGATGGGGTCAATATCATGACAGCAACTTTACTTCCCATGACACTTCCTGGTACCCTTTTTCAGGCAAGATCATTCTGGGAGTCTAGGCCATTCAAAATCGGATTTGATCGGCCGGTGACCTGTAGGCAAATGTGTCAGCCATATTGGGAGACAGGTAGGTTTTGTTTGGCAGAACTATGTCTATGAGGTAGAGATGTTGTGTTTGGCAGAACTATGTCTATGAGGTAGAGATGTTGTGTTTGGCAGAACTATGTCTATGAGGTAGAGATGTTGTGTTTGGACTATGTCTATGAGGTGATGTTGTGTTTCTATGTCTATGAGGTAGAGCCGTTATGTTTGGCAGAACTGTAGGTAGAGATGTTGTGTTTGGCAGCTATGTCTATGAGGTATGTTGTGTTTGGCAGAACTATGTCTATGAGGTAGAGATGCTGTGGGAGAACTATGTCTATGGTAGAGATTTTGTTTGGCAGAACTATGTCTATGAGGTAGAGATTTTGTGTTTGAACTATGTCTATGAGGTAGAGATGTTGTGTTTGGCAGAACTATGTCTATGAGGTAGAGATGTTGTGTTTGGCAGAACTATGTCTATGAGGTAGAGATGTTGTGTTTGGCAGAACTATGTCTATGAGGTAGAGATGTTGTGTTTGGCAGAACTATGTCTATGAGGTAGAGATGTTGTGTTTGGCAGAACTATGTCTATGAGGTAGAGATGTGTTTGGCAGAACTATGTCTATGAGGAACTATGTCTATGAGGTAGAGATGTTGTGTTTGGCAGAACTATGTCTATGAGGTAGAGATGTTGTGTTTGGCAGAACTATGTCTATGAGGTAGAGATGTTGTGTTTGGCAGAACTATGTCTATAAGGTAGAGATGTTGTGTTTGGCAGAACCCATGTGGGTAAGATAGGGATGTTTTGGCAGAACCATGTTCTTCTGTGTTCACCCTTACAAGTGTGGTTGGCATGTTGTGTTGTGGTTTACAGAAAGGCTGTGTTGTGCACACATTTTTGGCCCAACACATCTGATTTCTGGAAACCCTTCATTTTTTTTTTTTTTTTCTTTATGGGTTCTGGGGCCCTGTCTGGGGGAGAGGGGTGGGGCTTGAGTGAGTGAAGAATAGAGCCTCTGAATGTTTCCTTAAGAAGTTGGTTTCATAACTCTTATGTTTACTTCCAAAGCAGCGTAGGAGTTCTTGACCAAGCTTCGCTCCCAGGTCATGTAGTAGGCTCAGAGACTTGTCAGTATCAACTAGCCAAGTCCGTCAGTGTCGATTATATTACCTCTTTTGTTACTACGGGACAGTTAAATTGGTTATAAATCAACATATGATGCCTTCTTTGGTACCAAACGAGTTAACGCTGCCAATGCTCTTTCCCATGTCTGTTAGTGCATTACTGTCCAACTGTCTAACTGTCCAACTGTCTAACTGTCCAACTGTCTGTCTAACTGTCCAACTGTCTAACTGTCTAACTGTCCAGCTGTCCAACTGTCTAACTGTCTAACTGTCCAACTGTCTAATTGTCAAACTGTCCAACTGTCAGACTGTCCAACTGTCAGTGGTTTCCTGTCTTTCAGGGTGAACCCTCAGGAGAAGCATTTATCCAGCTGGACTCGGAGGAAGCAGCGACCATGTCTGTGATCAGCCGACACAAGCGACCCATGACCTTCACCAACAAGAAACGGGTGATTGATGTGATCCAGTGTAGCGGAAACGACATGAGTCTTGTGTTGACCAGTGGCATGCCCCAGATGCCCATCCCACTTCCAGCCATGTTACCTGCTCCTCAGATTCCTCCGCCTTCCCAGATCAGCTTTCAGAGTCCACTGCTAACACCAGGTAGAACAGCACTGACATGTTTGTGTCGAAATAACTTCCTGTTGTTGCTGTCTGTCGTTACTGTCTGTCAGCACTGCCTGTCGTTACTGAGTGTCAGTAGTGTCTGTCATTATTGCCTGTCGTTACTGTCTGTTGTTACTGTCTGTCGTTACTGTCTGTCATTACTGTCTGTTGTTACTGCCTGTAGATACTGCCTGTCATTACTGTCTGTCATTACTGCCTGTCGTTACTGTCTGTAGATACTGCCTGTAGATACTGTCTGTCGTTACTGTCTGTTGTTACTGTCTGTTGTTGCTGTCTGTCGTTACTGCCTGTAGATACTGTCTGTCGTTACTGTCTGTCGTTACTGTCTGTTGTTACTGTCTGTTGTTACTGTCTGTAGATACTGCCTGTCGTTACTGTCTGTCATTACTGTCTGTAGATACTGTCTGTCATTACTGTCTGTCAGATACTGTCTGTCGTTACTGTCTGTAGATACTGTCTGTCGTTACTGTCTGTAGATACTGTCTGTAGATACTGTCTGTAGATACCTACTTATGGGCTTTCTGGGAAATTGGTAGTGGATCTTGAGCCAGAGAATTTACGACTGCATGGCTAGTGCAGTTGCCACAAACTGTGCGGGTTAGGATTTTGTTGTTGTTTGCATTCACCGGTTGTAAATTCCAGCAGACATTCCATTTCTGGACTTTGGTTTTATTCCAGGACCTGAGTTCTTGCCAGTGCGTCCGTTTTACAGATCTAGCTTAGTTGTTGCTTCCTAAACTCTCAGGCAGATGCACTCTTGCTGAAGATTTGAACCCAGGTGTTCAGAGAGACAGCCCAGTGTTTAAGCTGTTCAGCCAGACACTCCTCTTAAAATCCTACTGGTAGTCTATATTTCTTCGACTTTCACCAAGATAGATCATAGATATTTTATCAACATCATCATGTGTCTTGCCATTATATGACAGTGACATTCATTAGCCATCATTATCATGTAGCAGATCTTTTGCAGAACATTGCTCTCATCACGGTCTGCCTGAAAGAATCTCAGTCTCTCGCCAGTTCTCCCGCCTCATGTACTTTCATACTCAAGGAGTCACTTATATTCTGTGCCCATCTTCGTGTTGGTCGGCCCCTGCCTCTCCTTCCTGGACCATGCCTTCTGCTATAATTCATTTCAATCTGTCGTGGTACTTAATTTGACCAAAATATTTCAGCTTCCGAGACGATGCTGTTTATTAGCCAATCTTCCTTGATGTTTGGAACTTTCAAGATATCAGTATTTCTCCGCTTCTTTGTCCAAGATATTCTGAGAATCTTTTTATAACATTTGAGCTCAAAAGCCCCTATTCTCTTTCTTAAGGACTGGGAGATAGTCCACGACTCACATCCGTATGTAGCCACAGGGAAGATGCTTGCTCTCAAAATTCTAGTTTTGATCTCCTTACTGCTGCCATAGATTCTTGTCAGCACCGATACATGTTGAATAATTTCATGTGCTATTGTTTCCACAGTGACCCCACAGCCTGTCATTAACTCTACATCCTTGGCAACACCTGGAACATTCTCGTATGTACCACTGGCACAGCCATTAACAACCACATTTGCACCAACAGTCGTGTCCTTACCCCAGCCTCCCACATATTACCCTCCCATCATCTACTGGTACCAAGCTCCACCAGTCTCGCCACCGCCGGCCATTTCTTACTACACTACAGCAACAAATATGGCGGCTGACCTGTACGCTGGTCCATTCCTGGTCGTCATGCGGGGTCTGCCCATGGACGTCACTGTACAGGATATCGTCACCTACTTCCAGGACTTTCCAGAGGTAGGTTCCAATTTGCAACGTTTATAAGGACCTTTATTGGTGGGTTTTTAGGATCTTTACTGGCAGTTGTAAGGACTTATTAATTGACATTTTTTATAGTTTGTAAGGCCGTATATTAGTTATGAGGACCTTTATTAATGCTGTTTATATTAATTATGATAGCCTTTATTGATAGTTTATATGTGGGACATAAATGATACAGGAATTGAGGTGGATCTGTGCGAAGAAAATGCCATGGATCGTGTTGCATTGAAAGGGCAAATCAGAAAGGGAATGAGAATGAATGGAGAAATGATTTTAGAAAGGATGAGAGCTGAGCATCTTAGAAAAAACCCACTCAATACAAATGATGGCAGCAAAAATCCTGCAATTCCCTGCTCTAAATATGGAAGCCTTTTCTGAACGTTGAGATGGATGTTGCTAGTCACACTCGCCATCGCCATGGGCTGTATCTCATGTCTTCTCATAGAACAATATAACACTATCATCTGCAAAAACGGAAAGGTGCCAGCAACAACAATAAGGACCTGTCTTAAGGATTTAGAGAAGATTTTTATTGATGCCTAATAAGGACCTCTGTAGATGGTTTATAATATTTGTTGATGATTTGTAAGGATCTATATTACTGTTTATAGGAAATGTTTATTGATGATTTGTAAGGATCTGTAGTGATGGTTTACCAGAAACATTTCTTGATGATTTATAAGTATCTGTACTGATGGTTTACCAGAAACATTTCTTGATGATTTATAAGTATCTGTAGTGGTGGTTTACCAGAAACATTTCTTGATGATTTATAAGTATCTGTAGTGGTGGTTTACCAGAAACATTTCTTGATGATTTATAAGTATCTGTAGTGATGGTTTACCAGAAACATTTCTTGATGATTTATAAGTATCTGTAGTGGTGGTTTACCAGAAACATTTCTTGATGATTTATAAGTATCTGTAGTGATGGTTTACCAGAAACATTTCTTGATGATTTATAAGTATCTGTAGTGATGGTTTACCAGAAACATTTCTTGATGATTTATAAGTATCTGAAGTGATGGTTTACCAGAAACACATTTCTTGATGATTTATAAGTATCTGTAGTGATGGTTTACCAGAAACATTTCTTGATGATTTATAAGTATCTGAAGTGATGGTTTACCAGAAACATTTCTTGATGATTTATAAGTATCTGAAGTGATGGTTTACCAGAAACATTTCTTGATGATTTATAAGTATCTGTAGTGATGGTTTACCAGAAACATTTCTTGATGATTTATAAGTATCTGAAGTGATGGTTTACCAGAAACATTTCTTGATGATTTATAAGTATCTGAAGTGATGGTTTACCAGAAACATTTCTTGATGATTTATAAGTATCTGAAGTGATGGTTTACCAGAAACATTTCTTGATGATTTATAAGTATCTGTAGTGATGGTTTGCCAGAAACATTTCTTGATGATTTATAAGTATCTGAAGTGATGGTTTACCAGAAACATTTCTTGATGATTTATAAGTATCTGTAGTGATGGTTTACCAGAAACATTTCTTGATGATTTATAAGTATCTGTAGTGATGGTTTACCAGAAACATTTCTTGATGATTTATAAGTATCTGAAGTGATGGTTTACCAGAAACATTTCTTGATGATTTATAAGTATCTGAAGTGATGGTTTACCAGAAACATTTCTTGATGATTTATAAGTATCTGTAGTGATGGTTTACCAGAAACATTTCTTGATGATTTATAAGTATCTGAAGTGATGGTTTACCAGAAAACATTTCTTGATGATTTATAAGTATCTGAAGTGATGGTTTACCAGAAACATTTCTTGATGATTTATAAGTATCTGTAGTGATGGTTTACCAGAAACATTTCTTGATGATTTATAAGTATCTGAAGTGATGGTTTACCAGAAACATTTCTTGATGATTTATAAGTATCTGTAGTGATGGTTTACCAGAAACATTTCTTGATGATTTATAAGTATCTGTAGTGATGGTTTACCAGAAACATTTCTTGATGATTTATAAGTATCTGAAGTGATGGTTTACCAGAAACATTTCTTGATGATTTATAAGTATCTGTAGTGATGGTTTACCAGAAACATTTCTTGATGATTTATAAGTATCTGAAGTGATGGTTTACCTGAAACATTTCTTGATGATTTATAAGTATCTGAAGTGATGGTTTACCAGAAACATTTCTTGATGATTTATAAGTATCTGAAGTGATGGTTTACCAGAAACATTTCTTGATGATTTATAAGTATCTGTAGTGATGGTTTACCAGAAACATTTCTTGATGATTTATAAGTATCTGAAGTGATGGTTTACCAGAAACATTTCTTGATGATTTATAAGTATCTGTAGTGATGGTTTACCAGAAACATTTCTTGATGATTTATAAGTATCTGTAGTGATGGTTTACCAGAAACATTTCTTGATGATTTATAAGTATCTGAAGTGATGGTTTACCAGAAACATTTCTTGATGATTTATAAGTATCTGAAGTGATGGTTTACCAGAAACATTTCTTGATGATTTATAAGTATCTGTAGTGATGGTTTACCAGAAACATTTCTTGATGATTTATAAGTATCTGAAGTGATGGTTTACCAGAAACATTTCTTGATGATTTATAAGTATCTGAAGTGATGGTTTACCAGAAACATTTCTTGATGATTTATAAGTATCTGTAGTGATGGTTTACCAGAAACATTTCTTGATGATTTATAAGTATCTGAAGTGATGGTTTACCAGAAACATTTCTTGATGATTTATAAGTATCTGAAGTGATGGTTTACCAGAAACATTTCTTGATGATTTATAAGTATCTGAAGTGATGGTTTACCAGAAACATTTCTTGATGATTTATAAGTATCTGTAGTGATGGTTTACCAGAAACATTTCTTGATGATTTATAAGTATCTGAAGTGATGGTTTACCAGAAACATTTCTTGATGATTTATAAGTATCTGAAGTGATGGTTTACCAGAAACATTTCTTGATGATTTATAAGTATCTGAAGTGATGGTTTACCAGAAACATTTCTTGATGATTTATAAGTATCTGAAGTGATGGTTTACCAGAAACATTTCTTGATGATTTATAAGTATCTGAAGTGATGGTTTACCAGAAACATTTCTTGATGATTTATAAGTATCTGTAGTGATGGTTTACCAGAAACATTTCTTGATGATTTATAAGTATCTGTAGTGATGGTTTACCAGAAACATTTCTTGATGATTTATAAGTATCTGTAGTGATGGTTTACCAGAAACATTTCTTGATGATTTATAAGTATCTGTAGTGATGGTTTACCAGAAACACATTCTTGATGATTTATAAGTATCTGAAGTGATGGTTTACCAGAAACATTTCTTGATGATTTATAAGTATCTGAAGTGATGGTTTACCAGAAACATTTCTTGATGATTTATAAGTATCTGTAGTGATGGTTTACCAGAAACATTTCTTGATGATTTATAAGTATCTGTAGTGATGGTTTACCAGAAACATTTCTTGATGATTTATAAGTATCTGAAGTGATGGTTTACCAGAAACATTTCTTGATGATTTATAAGTATCTGAAGTGATGGTTTACCAGAAACATTTCTTGATGATTTATAAGTATCTGTAGTGATGGTTTACCAGAAACATTTCTTGATGATTTATAAGTATCTGAAGTGATGGTTTACCAGAAACATTTCTTGATGATTTATAAGTATCTGAAGTGATGGTTTACCAGAAACATTTCTTGATGATTTATAAGTATCTGTAGTGATGGTTTACCAGAAACATTTCTTGATGATTTATAAGTATCTGAAGTGATGGTTTACCAGAAACATTTCTTGATGATTTATAAGTATCTGAAGTGATGGTTTACCAGAAACATTTCTTGATGATTTATAAGTATCTGTAGTGATGGTTTACCAGAAACATTTCTTGATGATTTATAAGTATCTGAAGTGATGGTTTACCAGAAACATTTCTTGATGATTTATAAGTATCTGTAGTGATGGTTTACCAGAAACATTTCTTGATGATTTATAAGTATCTGAAGTGATAGTTTACCAGAAACATTTCTTGATGATTTATAAGTATCTGTAGTGATGGTTTACCAGAAACATTTCTTGATGATTTATAAGAATGATTTGTAGGAAACATTTTACTGAGGCTTTAAATGAAACTTTTATTGATGATTTATAGGCAACATCTATTAATGATTTACAGGAATCATTAATTGATGATTTGTAGGAGACATTTAAAAAAAATTATTATAAGGAACATTTAATGATGATTTATCAAAAACATTTCTTAATGATTTGTAAGTTTAGTTGAGTTTAGACGACAGATCAACATCATAGAACAAGGGTAGTAACCCATAAGTGCTCCATCCTACTTTTGATTCAAGCCTGACTCCAAGGAATTTCAGCGCAGTACACGAACTCCATATCACAGGCAAGGATCCTGAAATACTTTGAGTAGATTTTCAACTCCAAATTTTGCCCAGGGCGGCGCCGTTAGGTTACTTTTTTCGATTTTCCAACTGCTGAGGGCTTTTTAACATGCGCAACAATTGACATGGGCGTTCGGTTTTACTACTCAGAGACCAGGGGAAATTACTAGAGGTCCACTTGAAAAAATCCCCGCTATCACCGGGGCTGGCACCTCTAGCACTCAAGGCAGAGGCCATGCCTTGAGACCATGCAGCCCCCATGAATAATCCGTAAGAAATGTTTATTGATGATTTATAAGGACCTTTGTTGGTGTTTTAGGTGTTTAAGCTTTATAAAACTATGGAATGGCAACATTGCATATCATAAGCCATACATGTATGTATTATGACATGCGTGACATAAGAGGCTGTAAAGGTGGGGTGGCATGCTTTAGGCCCTGGAGAACATCAGGTGTAACATCCAGCGTGAACAGGTCTAGATTATTTAAACCTGAACAAAATTCTTGACACAGATTCTTCTTGTTCCTCTTCAAGTTACTTTTACCTT